TGATTGGCTGGTTTGCATGTGACAATCATCCAACATTCGTGTAACCATTTTCCATATTTGGGACGTTCTTACCTGTGCACAATTTATGAAAGATCATCTTAATTTCATTTCCGTAAAATTCCGGCATTTTTATATAGATTAAAAGTGCGCAGTCTAAATAGTAACCCAAGTCATGTCAAAAAAACCATGTAAGCTGTTCCACAATAACAATAAGTTTATTTTATATCATTGCTGCATTATATTCATATCGTTAATCCTTTCATTAGTAATCGAATATTCAAAAAAGTTGGAAATTTATCTCAATATGTTCAATATAAAAAGTTTTGATCATTCGAAATTTAGTCCCAAACGAATCAATTGGGCATGGCGGATTTGGAATTGTATACTTGATCGTTTACCAAGGAAAAAATATGCATTAAAAAGTTTATATAATAATTTATCCATTGATAAAAAAGCGTTCAAACAAATTAGAAATGAGGTAATATGTTTGCTGTTCGACATTTGCATTGGGCATTTATTAACATATTGTATATTTATAAAAATATATTTGTATGAAGATTAAACATCTTCTTAGTATTAATATCCAAATATTATTAAGTTGCACGGGTTTTCTAGAGGTATAATTAAAATATATTTTTGAAAATCTGATTTATACAAACTTTAATCTTGTAAAGTAGTATTATCAATGAACTTTTAGATCCATTGTCAGGTCATTTCATGCTAATTTTACAGTATGCTAATGATGGCAATCTACGAGAACATTTACGAAGAAAACAAAAAGAAGGTCATTATAAGATTTTATGGTCTGAACTCATCAAAATTTCCATGGGGATTGCTTCTGGGTTAGATCATTTGCACAAGAATGGTATCATTCATCGGGATCTGGTGAGTTTTAATTGGTTTAATTGCTCTAATTTTTGCATGGAATTTTAAATTTAGAATTGATAATTATAAACCACAATAGCATTCTAAAAATATATTAATCGACGATGGAAAGGCTTTAATCACGGACTTTGGCATATCAAGGAGATTTAATGATACCACTGCATCGATTTCAGGTGCGAATAATAATGTGATTGGTGTGGTGGCATATATAGAACCGCAATGCTTTATTCAACCTGAAATAAAGGTTGAACGTAAAGAGAAATCCGATATTTATAGCCTGGGAATATTATTCTGGGAACTCACAAGCGGAATTCCTCCATTCAATAATTACAATCATGTGGCTCTAGTCAAAACAATTTTGGACAATAAAAGAGAAAAACCTATTGATGGTACGCCTATAGACTATGTAAACCTTTATGAAAAATGCTGGTCTTCTAATCCAGACATGCGTCCGACAATGAATGAAATCTTAACTAAAATTAATAGTCTATCAAAAATATCAGTTGAATTTGTTACCAATAGTATAGATATTCAGTCTGACAAAGAACTTTCTGATGAAGATTATGAGAATACAGACCAATTCTTTGATAAAGATGATGATAATATAATTGTCAGAGATGAACCACTATGTGATCAACAGCATAGCCATTTGTCCGAAAGTTTAGTTCCTCACTCTAATGCAAACGAAGTTTCAAATACAGATCATTCTTTTGAAGGTAATCATAAAAAAAAAAAAAAAAGCATTGTTAATATAACATATTAACATTTTTATTCCTTTTGAGCAGGGAACTATATATTGACAAAAGAAAAATATACCAATATTACAAATTTTGCGCTACATCCGCAGCAGTTATACATTGAAATCAGACAACCCTCGGCTAAAGTTCCTATTTCTCCCCGTAAAGAAAATATCTATAAAAGCAGCAAAAATATTAGTAATGCCAATCCTTCTATGCCTTCAACTAACGTGGAGACAGGTTGTGATCAGGAGATGCTTATTCCTCAATTATCACAATCTCATTATAAAACTTCAAAGAGTAATAACCCGGTTCCAAATTTTGAATATCTATCTTATGATAGAGTTCAAGGCCTATACAAGGAAGCTTTCTATTTTATCCCTAAAGGCTTTGAGCCTGTTCTAGTTCCTAATAATGCAAAAGCTAAGACTGTAGATGGGCTCTTATAAAACTACCAAGAAGACGACGAGGAAATTTACCAAAATCCACTACGGCCCTGTTAAAGAACTGGCTGGTCCTACACAAAAAATATTCGTATCCGACTGAAGAAGAGAAGTCTGCCCTCGCTAAAGAAACAAGATTAAACTTGCAACAAATTTCAAATTGGTTCATTAATGCAAGGCGAAGGCATCTACCTCACCTACTTGAATCCGAATTTGTCAACGGCAACTCGATGAATTCTAGGAGAATTCGAAAAATTGGTGCTATTAAAAAACCTTATAGGAAAGAGCATCCTTTATAAGTTGATCCTCTTCCTCTTATAGTTGCTAGATGAAACCTCGAGTTTCGCGCGAAATCTAATTTCGTCTTTCGTAAATTAAAATATTATATGACGAAATGACGAAACTAACGATAGGTGATGATACTGACGAAAGTTGAGGAAACGACGAAACTGCAAAGGGTGACAAAACTAATAAAAGAAGAAGATATAGATAAATGTTGTTAAAAGATAATAATAAAAAATAAAAAATTATAAAAATTACAAATTTTATTATACAATATAATGGGCGCTTAAATTATTTAAAGAGAGGATTCTATACTGTATTATACTTACATATCAGCTCTAGTGAGAAATCGCTTTGTGGTCTTATAAATTTATTTGTGCCAGTACTGCAGTATGTTTTAATTCATTATTTGTGATATTCTATGAGTACTATGGCTTTTTAACAAGGTTATTTCAACCGGTTTATAACAACTTAAGCGTTGTCCAGAAAATTGAACTGGATAATTTTTGTTGGCTTACATATAATTTCGGATAATGATCTCTGATAAATTATGAAATTTTATTAAATTTAAATAACTTTCGTTTTTTTTTTTTTTTTTTTTTTTTTTTTTTGGGGGGCGTTGTGTTTTTTTTTTTTTTTTTTTTTTTTTTTAGGGGAGCACTAGGGTTTCGTTATTTTAAGTTTAAGGACTATACTCTAATATATGTGTTGACCAGCTCAAAAATCTTATTCGAATTCTCTATCTTATGCTATCGATTTATTTTTTTCCCTCCCCTTTGTTCCCAAAATTTTCGATTAGGGTGATTCAATCCTAATGTTCATGGTTTCTGCTTTCGAATTAAATTAGTGACATAGTTATTTTGAAATCAGTGATTTGTAAATTTTATTGGTTTGATTTGTAAGTTTATTTATATAATAA